TTTCTATTTCTATTATCTAGCAAGTAAATCCAGAGAACTCTGATTTCCTACATTCATAATAGTTGGGAATTCTTGCTATATATAAAATATGATTAAAATCCCAACAAAAGACTTTGAAAGGAAGAAGTCACTTTCCTTAGTCAAGTCATATGCTTTAAGCTAGTCTGACGATGCTTTGGGGACCTTTGGAGTGTTTGGAATTGCCAGGAATTACTTCTCAAGTGAGAAACCCGGGTTCACGTTTTGTATTTTGAGAAAGTGGAATGTGTATCACAGGGGCTTATAACAGTCTGAGCCAACTCTTGGACTAAGTAGCACAGACCATAGGGACTCTTGACAAACAAAATCTTAATAGTTAAGATCCATGGTGTCAAATCAAAATTAATTTTGATAGGAGGTAATGAAGACAGCTAAAAGTTAGATTTTGCTTTCTGTGCTAGGCCATGGGTAGGTTATACAGTTCTGCCTCTCACCAGAGAGATGCAGCTTTCTCAGTTTGTTTCTACAATTTCAATCTTGAAAAGAATGTATTTTTTAAAACCACCAGCATTCCTTAAAAATGCCTATTTCAAAAGAAAATTCAGTACTCCCATGTGTAATGCGGAATGATCCTTAATGTTTTTTACTGGAACTTACTGGCATATAGAGCAGGACAATCCATTTTAAAATGTAGAGCCATATTCCACAAGTCCAATCACGGAACTGTATTTCGGGTTGAGAATAATATCCATTTCTGTACTTGGAAAATTTCTCTGAATGTCTTCTGATGTGGTAGGAGTTCATAAAGAGAACTGCTGGGACAGATGCATCAGTACATTGGAAACGATGAAAAATTTGCTTCGTGAAATTGTAGGAAGCTTTTCCTTCATGTGGGATGGGAGAGGGCGGAAGACTAGACCCAAAGTCCTGTCTGTGTTGATTTTCTATCGGTTGGATTGGAGTGTCTGATTCACCCTGCTCTGGCAAACATCCTCACTTGCTTTAGGAGCCCTTTTCTGTTTATCAGAATTCTCTCTGACCTCTCTGATCTTCCAATCATCTATTAGAACAGTTCTGAAACCTAGAGGTTGTCTTAGATGGTTGAGCTCATGATACTGCTTAGAGTGACATGCAGTTGCAAGCTCACATCAAGGTCCACTAAGTAAGTGTCTGTCTGATTTGTTTTACTAGTTTTAATTTTATTCACTAATGTGTGCCTGGGATAATACTTTATTTCATTGTTTTGCCTACACTGTTACATTCAGAGTCCCCTTCTGTATACCACTGTGACACTAAAATTGATTTATTGGAGCCAATGATGTTTTCTATGAAGTACTGTTGACGAGCAAGTTGAGCCACGCTGATAAATGCAATTCAGAAATCCTGTGTGTTTTTAATTGTGGTGGGTTTTTTGTTTTGTTAACTAGACACGAAATTTAATTATCCCTGAGTGTTACTTTATTGGTACATAAGCATGTGCAACTGCTGTCCTGAGCATAGTAAGAGGTAACTCGAAAGTATGAAACCAAAGGAGAGGTGGGAACACGGGATGTTTCAGCTCAGTATACCGAACCCTAGACTGAAAAAAATTTAAAAAATCGTTGTTTGTATGAATATTATTGTCAGGCTGAAAAGGCCAAACCTTCCACTCTTCTCCAGGATAATGAGTTGTAAGGATTCTTTATAGCGCACATCCATGAGTAGTTCTTTCACAGGTATTTAATGCTGTATTGCTCAATTCAGCTATCCTAGAAAGAGCTGCAGGTGGCGGTCACCCTTTTTACATTTTTGAAGGTTTCTTTGTAATTTTGAGTAAGATAGTAGGTTGAGTAAGAGTAAAAGAATTAATTTTCAATTGTATAAGCCTTAAAGCAAGTATGTTGTGTGCCTAACAGTCGCGTTTCTCTGTAGGTCTTAATAGAGTAGTGTCTTTCCCCCAGACATCTCTTTGGATAAGTACTAAGGACCTTAAAATCAGGTTTTGAGAGGCCAGTATGAGCAGGTAGGGCTGCAAGACTTTGTAAGCTTCATTTCTGCAGGCCCTTCTGAATTTCAGTGACAAAAAGGAGTGAGCTTACCCTAGGATTTTAGGAGCACATATTTCTAATAGAACTTGGCAGTTCAAGGGCTAAAGAAGCATTTTAATCTTTTGTGCCCACCCAGTCTCTATACAAATGTAAATATGTCTCTCTCTAACAATTTGCCAAGAAATGTGGTTTTAATTTGTTAGCAGCAATCCCACTCCCTGCAGCTCTTTCAGAGTCAAGTCACAAGTCTGGCGGTGCTTTGACGTTTTTCTCTGTCATGGTGTCATTGTTTATATGCTGTCTGCTTCTGCTGTCCTCCTTTTTCTGCCTGGAATATTTTTCTTTAATTATTTCACTGCCTAAGAGGAATTTGGGATTACTAGACAGGATGAGAGCAGATTAGCTTTTTTTCTTTCTTTAACAAGTCCTGAAGTTCCCATAGGAAATAAATAGTATTCCCAAAACAGACAGTGTTTTTTATTTTTTTTAATTAACTAAAATTATTAAGTCTAATAAAGAAAATAAAGGAAGTATCACCAATAATGGCTGAGTGTCTTAGTAGTATATGGAGTGCCCATTGTTGTTATTTATGACTCTCTGCCTTCTATTGTGGACTTATTTCAGCCTTAGGGAGTTTACATCACTCCTAATAGCAAAAGGCTCTCTGGTTCCCACAGAGTCTTTCAAAGACTGACTCATATGCCTTATGTTAATTGTTCAGCTCTCAAAATACAGCACTTACAGGGTGTGGTTCCAAGGGGAAAATCTACTGTACTTAGAGGGCATGTTCAGAAGTGTTTCACTTATAAATCATTTTGATTTTTAATTATTTTAATGCCTTAACCCTTTTCTGTCCCTGCTTTTTGCGAGAAGTTGTTTGCAAATGAGATAGAAGTTTGCCGACGGTGTAGTGAGGGAATGTGTTAGCCCTTCAGCTCTGGACCACTGACTCCAGTCTGACTCCACTCATGAGTGATACGGCTTCGTCGTCTTTGCCTCTATCCAGGGCCTGCTTTTCATGGCCTGGCATGACGATCATGCACTCTTCGTTATCGGAGGCGAGTTAGAACTGAGGTTTTTGGCTTATCTGCAGTAGCGAGTAGGCGTGGACAGGAACTATCCCCAGTCCTCCTCCCCGTTTTGTACAAAGTGCTCTTTTCCACACGTGGCTTACCACATCTACAAGAGTTGCCTTAGTGGACCGACGATCCTGTCACTGTCTGCTGTCTCGAAGACTGAAGAAGATTTAATAGCATTAGGTTTACCAGTTACTGTAAAGCTGAAATTCAAATGTTTCTGCTTGCGCTCCTCTTTTCTGGCTAAGTAAGAGTCCTCCCCAGCTGCTTGGATGCAGAATGATTGTGCAAGATCCTTCAGGCTGAGTGGTGTGAATGTTACTGGAAATCAGAATAGTTTCTACAGAATTTAAAGTTAGGAGTCTGTGTCTTCTCTTAATATTGGCAAAGCTCTTGAGTATCTTAATAGTACTCCCTTCTTTAATAGTTTACAAAATAGGAAAACTTACTTAGTCAAATTAGGGGAGACCATACCTCCAACAAGAATAGAAGCAGCAATTAATCCCTCAGATTAAACGAGTTAGTCTTGATTTCTGAGGTTGAAATCGCATTGCATGTACATCCCATGCCCCGCTGTAAACATGCATGTTGCACCATTAGTGGACAGGACTTCAGGCATCTATCAGTACACACAAAGGAGCTTGCGTAATTTGCCTCTGAAAGGAAGGCCCCGAACAGCTGTATGATTTTTTTTTTTTCTTTAAACTGTTGAAATGGCTTTATTTCTTTGCCTGACTACCCTCTTTCTGCTTACAAAACAGGAAGTTGTTTTGCTGGCTTATTCTTCTGGAAAGAGCGATGAGATCTTTAAAACAGAAATAAAAATAGAAATGAAAACGGGCAGGCCTTAATCCCCTAGAAGTGACAGGTTCCCGAGGGGTGTTCCAGGCAGCGGTCATGTACAGGCTTTGGCCTTACGCCTCCGCAGTCTTCCTCTGCTTTCGTCGGTGCCTTCGTACTGCCTGGCTCCAGTGTCCTAGCTTCACTGTGCAGCCCAAGAAACAACGTAAGCGTGCACTCCCTACATTTGACGAGCCCCGATCGGAAGCTGCATCGTGCAGGCTGATGAAGAAAAATGCTGTAAAAGAAAAGGGGATGCACAAAGCCTCTTCTCTTCTTGCCTTTGCCATGTTTTTTTTCTCTCTTCTCCATGGCCTCAGAGATAATACTTATTTGAAGTATGTGGTAGTTAATAGTGAAGCCAGCAAATGGCCCTTCTCTCACTGAGATTGTTTCATTATGAAAGGAAATGCTCACAGCTAGAAGAAAAAGAGCATTTTCCTTCCCTCCCTCTTGCCCCAATCTCGTATTATGTAAAACCATGGTGCTGCTGTTAGCTGAGAGCAGAAAGAATTCCCCTGTTGTCCTGTAGTAGCCAACTGCTACAAGCTGTGAGCGTTTGAATGTTAGTATTAGAAGTTTTAACCCTTGCCTTCTTAAATGAGCAAATAGCACTCTGTGTATTTTTTCTAAGTATGGAAAATTATGGGAATTCTTCTGAGAATAAGTGTATAGACCACTGCGCCAGTCAGTCTCTTCAGAAAAAAAAACCCTGACAAACATGCTCCTGTCTACAAGAGAGATTCCTGGCATTTGTCACAGTTTGAGCCACAGAGATGTTAAATGTTTGCCAACAGTTTCCTCAGACGGTTTGGAAAGCTACATCCTTTACATTACAGTCTTGTTTGTTTGCGGTATATTTTAGCATATGAAATATGTTCGTTGGGAGTCTGAAAGGGGAGGGAACTGACTAGACTCCCAAATATTAAAAGATTAAAAATAATTCTGTTTCTCTTAGACTTCTCAGATCAAAATAATAAAGAACATCTGTAAGTCTTAGTATTAGAAATGGAGTTTTGTGTTGAATAATCATAGCTTGATGTGTCATGTTTTAAACCTGTATTTTCTTTTGGAGCAGAAAGAACTTTCCAATGGGACGTCTGAATATTTTACTGAATCTGCTGAGAGCAAGAAGCTGAAGATTAGCCTCAATGAACAAATAAAGCAAGACATCTTGAAAAAAATGTATGTTACTGTTCTTTCTGAGGTGTTAAATTTATAATCTGGTAAAATTTGGGTAAATAGAGTCTAGCCTATGTAATAAAATCTCAAGTAATCTAAACTCCTTTACAAAAGACTGTTTTAAATCACTAGGAGACTACTACTCAAGTGTGCATAAGCACGTGGAACGATCGTTGTTGTTTTGTACAGCATGAAAAAAGCTATTACAGCCCACATAGATATCTCGCATAGTGCTAGGCAGAATCAAAACCGGGTGTTTTTTCCTTAAATGAAGCTCTGAGCCAAAATAAATAAGTGATGTTTGAATCCTGGAGAAAAACGCTTTGCAAATATACTTCTTGTTCAGTTTGCAAGTCTGCAGCGTACCACGGTATTAGTCTGGATCTTTGGTCATAACTGGAGAGTGTCCCTGGTGCAGTGGGTGGGGAGGGTTAGTTGATCAGCCGAATGTTTCACTGGTCCTCCGCCGCACCAGGATGCCGTTCTTACTTGCGCAAGCTGCCCGTAGCCCCGGGTCAACTCTGGAGTCAGGGATTTGCTGTGAACTCTGGCAACTTTGTGTTTTACCTATGTCGTGTCATCTGTGCTGCCTTTAGAAATGAGATTAGATTTGGAGGTGTGACAGCTCTACCTCTTTTGGAAGAGCCCTCTTTCTGAAGAATGAGACGTGCCCACCTGGGAACTGCTCAGCATCAGCAGGGCAGCAGAACGCGGTCTCAGCCTGGGACGACACAGGGTAGTGTCTTTAGACTCAAATCTTTCGTAGGCAACTTCAGTACTTCTGCACAAAGTTCATCTTGCAGCCCATTTGAAATCTAGGTTTGTAGGTAACATGCTGCCGAGGAGTGTTTAAGTACTGACACTCTATCAGGTCCCTTGTGATCCCATTTTCCTGTATAATTCCTTTTAGAATATCATCTACTTGTATTACCTAAGTCCTTCCCAGATGAATGGGCTTGATACTAGATGAGTAGTGGTCAACTTTAAAGTAATGCTTTGAAATGTCCTTGGAAAAATTCCAGAGGAACCTTCTAAAATAGAGATTAGAAACTCGGAGAGAGGCGCATGCTGCCTCTCCCTGCCTGCCCCCCTCTGTTCTCTAGGTATACATTATGCATGTGAATATATGGGAATGGTTTGAAATCATTTAGGCACTTATGAAATACTATTTTATCTAGGCAGTTTGGGAGGGAATTCAATATACTTATGCCGTGCTGACCTTTAACATCTGTAATGAATCCAGTTCTGCCTCTTGGAATAGAATGTGAACTCCTCCATGGCTTAGTCATCAATAAATAGGGTTCTCCTAGTGCAGTGGAAAATCAGATGGAAAACACTTGATATTATCCACACTGGACAAACATTACTGCTTGTCAAGATGATTCCCAGGGTTTTTTTTCCACATTCAGAAAGAGGGTTGCCCTGGTGGTGTTTCAGAGTTTATAAGAAGGGCAGGTTGAGGCAGTGAAGGTTCTTTTTTAATTTTAAAACAAAATGCTTTTTTATTGCAGTGTGAAGAGGACCAAAAAAAGGAAAAGTAGCACAAGCAAACCTCAAAGCAGCAAGGGCTCCAAGAAAGTGTGTCTTGGCTCAGTGGACTTGCAGAGCGGGAACAGAAAGAATGACTGTCCAACTTCTCTCAGTCCTCAATCAGAAATGAAGTGTAGGAGTACAGGACTGCTAAAGGACTGCGTGAATACAGCTGAGAGCACCTCAGAGCTTCCTGGTGTAGAGCTGGAAAATCATGTTAATCAGAGACAGCCAGATGATGTTAGCAGCCAGCAAAAACCTCGCTCTCTGGAGTGCTTGAAGTCGAGTCTTCTGAGTGAGAACCTTCCTTCTAGCTCTGAGTCAGCACTGCTAGGTCCAAAACAAAGTCAAAATGTGACCAAAACACAGGTTCAACCAAAGAGCTGTGATTCAGAAGAAAAGTTAGAGCATTTCAACAAAGTATCCTCTGAAGGGGCTTCTGTAATTTCTAGCAATACAGAAGTGGGTGAGTGCAATGATGATTGCTTAGGTCCATTCCTGAAGGATAAGACCCCACTCAATTCCAGTTTGTTTTCTAAACAAGACATGACAAAGACAGTGACTGATGAGGAGTCGCTAACATTGAGAAAAAACCTCTCCCGGCCTCTTTCTGTGAGGAACCACACAGTGCAGACGAACCAGAAGGAGCCAAGCACAACCACTGAAGAATTGCCTGTGACACCATCATCTTGTGTAGGACTGCAGCCTGTGTCTTCAGAGGAGCTTGTCCAAAAAAGAAAAACGGAAGTTGGAAATGGTCTCAGGAAGTTAAAACTGCGAAGGCTGAAGAAGTCGTGAAGGCTGGAATACTACCTCGGTGGCATGGGTGAACAGCCAAGTCTGTGTTCGGAAAGCATGTGCGAAAAGTAGGAAGCAGTTCAAAGTAATGAAAAATAATTGAAATAGAATGTCAAAATTAGAGAAAATTTTTTAAGAACATTTTGTTAACCAAGTATCTTAGTCATTTGGAAGGGTAGTGAAGATAATCACTAAGTCTTCAGGAATTAGCCATTACTATTTTATGAACCAGTGTAGTATTTATAAAAAGGAAAATCTCTTGTAATATTTACTAAGCACAATTTTAGATCTATGTATGTTTTATTAAAAAGTCATACCAGCGGATGACAGCAAAAGTTAAAACCACTTTTGTGATCTGTTAGCAGCTGCTCTTAGCCAGGGTTTTGCTGGATTTGGAACACATAGTTTATTTTAGTAAAAATGAATGCTTTCTCTCTCTCCTGTTAGGAAGTCCATGGTTTATTCGTGTGATCCTTACTAGGGCAAGGTGAATTGAGGTTGCTTCAAATAAATCTCTAGCCAGGATTTAATGTCGCCGATCATTTAAGGCCCCCCTTTTCAGTGAGGTTTCAAAACAACAATAGTTGGTGCTGTTTTGATGTGAACGTGGATTTCTAACCTGAGCTCTGGATACAAGAGATCACACATTCAGGCTTTGGAAAAATGAGGGTTGGCTTTATAGATGCAGTCACCTGGATGTGCAAACGTTGCTGTCGGGAAAAGTTCCTACATAAGCACGCATACACGTCCTGGTGCATTCGTGTTTCAAAATCAGGCCTTGTTTGTGTGCAAGGACTGTTTTTGAGGTATTAGCCATACCCAAGGTATTTCTCACTTTAGGACAGGTGTAATTTTTAATTGTGCTGTGCTTTCTAGTACTGCTTTTGGAACTCGTATGCTAATGCGCTAAGGAGGCGCAACTTTTTATTTCATGTTTATCTCTTTAAAATGTTTAAAATAAAATTATAAACAATTTTCTTTCATCATTCTCCCAAAATCAGTGTGACCACAGACATTGTATGTGAAGCACTTCTGAAAAACTAACTGACATACACTTATGACTGTGGATGTCCTCAATCCGGTTACAAAGGTGATCCGTAAGCGTTGGAGTTGGTCGTGTACTACAGGTCCTGATGAGAGTTAGCAGCTGGTCAGGTGACAGCACATCACCATCAAACAGCATCTTTCTGCTATAAATATTTTCTGGTTTTGCTATAAATGAAAACGATTCTGCATACCTGCTGGAAGACATTTTCTCTCTTCTCTTTCAGCCTGTTTGTGTGACGTTTCTCATAGCGCTTTGCAGTAAGGTTGCTAATGCTGACCAACCTTCAGGCTCTGCAGAAAGGTCTTGCCTGCTAATAAGCAAAACCAAGGCTGCAAACGAACCTGGCTTTGGAGGAGGTATGTTTACGGTTGTCTTCTGCGTCAGATACTGGGCCAGGAAAGGAGTAAAAAGCACCTTTTGAATGGGAGATGTAAGGACATTTAATTAAGTATTTATCAGAAAAGTAAGAGTAATTAAAATATAAACATTTAATAGTTTATATTACATTTGTAGTGTATGTTTTCTGGATGGCTTCTTTAAGTGCTCCCAGGGAATAAACTGCTAAGAAGTGGTACAAGCGCATGTTCTAGACTGCAGTTTTAACTTTTCGTTATTTCTACTTTGCTTTGTGAACTTCCCATGATACCTTCTGTTGTAACAGATACTACAGGAGAGGTTTAGATGATTCCGCAGTAACAGACACATGTTGAGTTTACAAAGTTGCTTCAGCTACTTCTTTTCATTCCATTCCAATTTGGAAAAGAACCTTAGGCTTGCTTTTGTCAACTGTCAAACGCACTGTATCGGCAAAAACTGTGGATGGTCTTGAACAAGTATGACCAGAACTGTTGTTGCGAACAGTTTTGGGCTCTGAAGCTTCCCTTCTTCTCGCCTTTCTCCTCTCCAAATCCATTTAACTCAAGTGTTAGAAACCAAAGGGCAGCCACATCCACTTTGTGTCATTGCACATCAACCTCATAATTACAAATTAGTTTTAATCTGAACTGAGTGACAAACCTGCATGCGCCTCTACAAAGGGACGTCTGACACAGGGGACTTGGGTAGATTAACCATTGCCTGGGTAGCCACGGACACTTGATTTTTCCTTCAGGATATTTTGCGATGTTACTTACAATGCTGTATCCATCACCTCACTCATAGCATGGGAACATCCTCCTTTTGAAACAGTGGTCTTGTAACAGTAAGAAATGGAGGGCTAGGCTGAGTGAAGGTGGTAGAGCCTGGAGATTCACCACACGTACAAGTGCAATTTCTCAAAAGTGCATAGTTGCATCATTCTTACTGTACTTGCTGAGTTCCTAGGCTCTTTTAAAAGACCCTCTGCTTTCTAGCTGTGCATTTAGAGCTTAATTACCTTAAAAAGCTGTCTCTCTGATCCTCTCAGAAATGTGATTATGCAGGGAAAAGCTTTGAATCCATGGTCATTTCTGGATTTTAGATGGTGTCACTGCTTGGACTGACTTTTAACTGTGCAGCAGGACTTTTATACAAGTTTCCCTCATGCAAACCTTATGGGGGCAACACCCAGGCTCTGCCGTCACCATGTGGCTCCGTCATCTCGGTACTTTAAGCCCAGGGTTGTCTGCTCAGTCTTTGCATTTAGAAACAATCCACCTGCACCCAGGCGACTGGCAGAGGCGTGGTCTGACCTGCTCCTAACCACACCTGGTTTGCTACATCAGGTTGAGGGGAAAAGGAAGAAAAAAAAGCCCAGAAGGAAGCTGGAAACCGAGCTCTCAAGTCTCTGTTCTGAAACCGCCACTGAAACAGAGAAACAATTTCTTTGGTTCATTTTTTTCTTTGTTTTGCTGTTTTTTTTTCATTTTCAGACCTTTTTTGAACTGTGGAATACACGTAAATCCGAGACTGGCTAAAGCCCGCAGTGCAGAGCTCACGTCGGAAACTGCATGTTTGTCTTAAAGAGAAATAACTGTCTATCCCAAACCAGCCAGGTTTGGGTTTTGCTTAACGCATCTTCTGTTTAATTTGGTCGCTGCTGTTTGCTGATGGTGAAACTGCCCTTTCCTAGCCAAACACTTTCTAACGTGTGCAGACTATTGTTTCCATTACATCAAAGTAGTTTAAAATATTTGTTTAGCGAACTTTTTGTGTTTAAATGCCCATCAGAAGCTAGGCCATCTTTTTACGTGTTTATTTATAAAGAGGAAGCAGCCTGATGTAAAATGTCCCTCGCCCAGGGTTGGTCGGTAGGAAGGTTTTAACTCTCACGGGAGTGATTTTGAGCAGGGAGCTTCGTGCTCGTTCTGATGTTAGCTGCCAGCGGTAGTTCTGCATGCGGGGGTCCGGGGCGGATGCTCGCGTGTTAGCGCAACGGCTCGGCCGCGCTGCAGCGTTACGCTTGTCTGGGATGATTCCGAGAGCACCGGTGTCTAGCACAAAACGTTAAGAACCCAAACTTTCCCTGCTACGGAAAGTTGGGACCAAGTGAGGTGTTAAGCAGCGTTCTGAAGGCGTTTATTTTGTCGGCAGGAACCTCCTTCCCTCTCGCCGCTCTGCACGCGGGTCGCGTTGGCTGAGTTTTAGTTGGCATTTTTATGTCATTGTCTCATTGGCTTCTGGCTGGGAAATGGGTTCTTCTGAAGGAAAAAGATGGAGTATTTTTGTTGTTGTTTGCAATTGGAAGAAAGAGGATGTAAAATATCGTTGACTATCCCAGCTTGCATGTTAATGAGTAGCTGTCTCCTTGCCTCTCTCAGTGTGTAATAAGGATAGGTCAGAAGGATGTAGACCGGTTGGAGGGAGTCCAGAGGAGGCCACGAAGATGCTCAGAGGTCTGGAGCCCCTCTGCCATGGGGACAGGCTGAGAGAGTTGGGCTTGTTCAGCCTGGAGAAGAGAAGGCTCCGGGGAGACCTTATAGCACCTTCCAGTGCCTGAAGGGGCTACAAGGAAGCTGCGGGGGACTTTTTACAAGGGCCTGTAGTGACAGGGCAAGGGGGAACGGGGTTAAATTGAAAGTGGGGAGGTTTAGATTGGACATCAGGAAGAAGTTCTTCCTGGAGAGGGCGGTGAAGCACTGGGAGAGGTTGCCCAGAGAAGCTGTGGATGCCCCATCCCTGGCAGTGTTCAAGGCCAGGCTGGATAAGGCTTGGAGCAACCTGGTCTGGGAGAAGGGGTCCCTGCCCATGGCAGGGGGGTGGAACTGGATGATCATTCTTTAAAGTCCCTTCCAACCTAAACCGCTCTGTGATTCTATGGTAAGAGGATTCATAGGGTATTAAAACACTCAAGTGCAGGCCTTAGCACACAGAGGCAATAGTATGGAGTCTTCGAGCCAGCAGTGGGAAGTGTGGGTTGGCCTCAGAAATTAGCTTTAATAAAAGAGACTCCTCACGTCTTTGGTTTCTGCTTTTTTTCTTCCCTAATGAGCATTAACGAGCATCCAAAAGCCGGCGTGAACGAGAAGATGTGGGCTGGGGGAACAGCAGCACGCCCCGCCTTTCATCAAAAGCATATCAAAGCGTTCTGCAGCTGCACCTGGGGGGGTCCTGAATATGCCTCTTCTGACAGTGGGAGGCAGCACCGAGGGCAAGCAGTTTCTCCAAGGCAAAGCAAGCTGCTTAAGGAGCTCGTACTGCAGATTCTTTCATCAGCTCCTTCAGGTGTTTGTGAGCACATTTCTCCCATCTCGTTCACTTTTCCCGATAATTAAACTGGAAACTGGTAGTGTGTGACCTTGCCCTTTCCACCGTGGCAGCCGGGTGACATTTAGACGGGGTCTGTTTGGTTGGCGTTGGCTTACGCTGAGAAATCATGGAAGAGTTGTGAAAATGATGAGCTGTCACAGGACGTTTCAGCTGCAACCTGGAAATTGTCCAGGGAATTAACCTCCACCATCCTACCTTCTTTATTACCCACTTCAGTTATTCCAGAGCTGGGAATTGGTTCCTGTGAGAGATGTGGATGTCACTG